GACTCGCTACCTAACCCCCTTTCACGTCAAGCGTGTTCACGCCACATATGGATAGCGCGTACATGTACACGTACAGTCATGCAAACATGATTGAACTTTGAAGACTTACAATTTTACTTACCACCCTCTAGAATCATAGTACAGTTGAACATCGATTATCCGCACATCGACTATCCGACCATTCGATTATCCGTAACAGTTTTTTTGGGCGCACGTGCCGTAGAGTACGCACTGTGCATGTAGTGAGCCATTCAAAAAATACAAAAATTTTGAAAAGTAAAAAGTAAAAAGGTCGTGCGGCTAGTAATAACCACTGAAAGTGTGTGAAACGATAACGATAACAGTTTTTTTCTTATCCGGAACATTTGCCTTATCTGAACACCGCCTGACAGTTGTCTGCCCAGAGGTGGTCGGATAATCGATGTTCAACTGTAGTATTAGTACATAATATTATTGTATAGTGGACTCTGCAATGAACTCAGCTGCAGAACAGATTATGAAACCCTGCACTGCAGATTAAGTTATCTCTGGTGGCTGGTCTTGGGGCACCGTGGGAGCTGTGACTGGTTGCCAAGTTTAGTTTTGTGACTGACCATGGCCTGGGGCGTTTGTGACTACTTCGAAGCATAACCATGATAACTGCTCACAGAGCCCTGATTGATCACAGAGTCTTATTATTATAGGCTTTTCGCGTTGGCATCGCCAAGCAAGCTTGGCTAGCCTTCGCATAAGCTGCTCCATGATGATGAGACGAAACAATGAATGCATGTATATACGATCTAGGACAAAACAAAGGTTGAGGGTATTTTAAACGAAGGAAGCTGCAAGTTGTGTTGAGGAACACAAAGTCGCAAACTCTACGAAAGTAAACCGCAAGAAATGTTTTGGGGTTGATTTCATGATTATTGTAGTCACAGGTTGTGTTAGAAGCATTAAAGGTTGTGTTTTCACAGGTATGTTGTTTACATTCCTATTCTTTTACAGGATAATATTTTCACGAAATATGTTAGTCAATGAGTTTTGTTATGGTACACCGTACAGCCATGCAGCTGCCACAGGTGGAAGCAGTATTAGGCTTTGATGTATGCTTTTATCACATTGCTGCATAGGTCTTTCCAGTCTTGTCGTGACTGGGCGATGGCATGGAGGTTCTCAAGTTCCTCGCGTTTCTTGAGTGACCCCTCGATACGCTGCAGGTCCTGGTGCAGACTCAGTGGCAGAGTGGTACGTGGCCGGCCCCGCCAGGTGGCAGCGGAACTTGGGTTTTCGAAGTATGCTGCCATCATAACGCGTGCTGGTACATCGTCGTCTAGTCTCAGGACATGGCCAAAGAGCCGCCACCTCGCTCTCACAATGGTTTCCCCTAGGGGCTGGGAGTTGGTGCGCTTTATATATAGCTCGCTATTTTTGATGACTTGAGGGTACTTGATCCCGACGACTGTTCGCAATTGACGTCTGTGGAATGCTTCCAATCGCTTGATGACATTGCTTGGGACTCCCCATGTTGAGTACAGGAGTATTGGTGTGATAAATGTGTTGTATAGCTTGACACGTCTGTTCTCTCTCACCTGCGAGCCCCTCACCCACAGTGCCCAAAGCCGTTGAAACGCACCTGTGGCCAGCTGCATACGCCGAGATATATCTTCCCTGTCACCCAGTAGCGATCCCAGCTTCCGGGTCAGCCTCCATTCTTCTGCAATACAGTCGCTGAACCTCTCGATATGGGTGAATTCTGTCTTGGCGGAGTTAACTGTCAAATCCCATTGCTTTTTAAAGGTGTCTCCAATGGCAGGGAGGCATGATTGGAGGTCAGTTCCCCTAGATGACAGAAAGTCAACATCATCATCAGAGGCACCCCACAGGGGGACTCATTATCTCCTGTGCTATTCATCGTGTATCTAGAACTAGCGGCCCTGCGGGACGTGCGAAATATCTTATCGGTCCGGCCACAACTCGATATAGATCTGCACCTCCCAACTGACACATCACGGAGTCTCCTGTTGTGAATATTAAAATCGAGTGAGAAGTCAAGCAGCCACGGGGCGCTGGCCTTGCAGCTGTGAGCATGCATACGGTACATATTCACATGACTATTGTATGCTGGTTAAGCATAGCCCGATTTTGCTAGCAATTCTGCTAGCAAAATATCGAAAATTTTTGAAAGGGAATTTGCTGGCATAATGGAGCAAAATATCGGTGTGTTGGCTGGAAATTGGGAGATTTTACACATATACGGTGCACATGACTCATTTCGACACAGTTTTACGAACATGTGACTCACTTTTTCTCATTTTTGCCAACACGTGACCCACTTTCGGTCAATTTTCTCACACGTGACACAAATTCTGGAGCAAAAAGGGAGCAAAATATCGAGTGGCCTGGCAAAATGAAAGCAAAATATCGACGATGAGCCAGCAAAAATTTGCGGCAAAATATCGAAGCTTCACTGGCAAAATCGGGCTTCGCCTAATGCTGGTCCATTGTTGCAGTGTGTAAGTGAACTGCATGCAGTACGTATTCCGTGATGGAACACCTACTACAGTGCATTTCAAAACTATAGACGTGTAGGGTTTTTGAAATATTTCAAATTTGGCTGGGACTTTTTGAGAATAGTTTTCGGAATATTGCTCAGGATCGCTCCACAATTACTCTCATATAGTTTCTAAAGGATTGGATAACAGACACCCAATTTGGAAAAATTTATGCACAAAGTGATCACAGATTTTATGTGGTATAGATGCTGGCATAACGGTTTTTGCCTAGGTACGCGTCTATAGTTTTGAAATGGACTGTAGTACTCTTGAAAGACCGTGAATGTTTGAGCTAATAATTGTACACATATTATCAAGGAACGATTTGTTGTCTCTAACTTGTCTAAGAATGTTTTCTTGTGATGGTCACCATGGTCACCAGTTAGAGTACAGAGAGAGAGAGAGCCTGGTGCAACTAGCACATCACGGAGAAGAAGCAGCAGAAGGTAGCGCGCCATTGCATTGTGCTCTGTGAAGTTACTACCTTGATATTCTTTATTCACCACTCAGCGATGTACTACAAGTAGATGCCTCCGTAAGGCATCGGCTGTGCTAGACCCAAAGCACCGAGCAATCGTGTACCGTGGCTTTGTCCGCCCTGTGTTAGAGTATGGCATGCTGGTGTGGATGAGCGCAGCCCCCACCACCTTGGCCCGCCTCACTGCCATCCAGCGCCGTGCCCTGCACATAATTGGAGATGGATCATACCTCCCGAGCCTCGACATTCGCCGTACCGTAGCAGGGCTCTGCTTTCTGTACAAGCTGCACTTTGTGGAGGGTCCGGAAATGGTGAAAGCCATTCTGCCACCATCAGCAGCCGCACCGCAATGCCGCATGTCTACTCGTGAGACAACCAGATCTGCAACACATCATCCATCGCAACTCACCAGTATTCTTCCTCCTCAGGCACGAAACAACACGCTCCGCTCATTTCCCCACTCCCTCATCGGAACGTGGAATCAGCTCCCACCTACCCTTCTGCAGTCTCCCCCTTCCCGCAGAGGTATGCACACGTTCAAGAAAAACGTCAACGACCACTTGCGGCGCAGCAAGTGGGAGTGGGCCACAGACAGGCTATGATCTCTGCCAACACACCAGCCTAATTATACTGACCGCACTCCAGTTCCCTTCTACCCCTCTTTGATCCCCTTCGCTCAGCCTTAAAATCCGATTATCAGTTCACTCCATCTTCCTACGGTGCACTGCTTTTACTATTGTTTTGTCCTGTCCCAATCTCAAATTCTCCCCATTATCGTTTGCAAAGCCGCGTTTAAGCCGGTGCTCCCCTCTTGGATGCACATGTTTCTTTTCTCCTATGTATCGGCGCAAAGGAGTAACCATGATTCCGAGACCTTTGGTCGGAGGAGTTACTTTTGTCCCGCCCCCACTTCCATCCAATATGCCACCGCCCCCGCTGTGCAGCATCTGATGGTACTGTGGTATTCAGTAAAAAAAATATATATATATGCATGATTACATAGAATGACCACGCACACGGCACAGTTGATCTTATTCATTGCAACTTTGGTCTTTAGTGCACTGTGAGGTCATGCAACTCTACACCATAATCGTTCAGTCCTCTATAAGTGCTTGGGTCGTCTCACCATCATGTGAGCAAGATGATAACTATAAGTATAAGTATAAGCCAATCTAGGCACAATCACTTCTGACTACAATCTAGGAACAATCACTTCTGACTACAATCTAGGCACAAACACTTCTGACTACAATCTAGGCACCATCACTTCTGACTACAATCTAGGCACAATCACTTCTGACTACAATCTAGGCACAATCACTTCTGACTACAATCTAGGCACCATCACTTCTGACTACAATCTAGGCACAATCACTTCTGACTACAATCTAGGCACCATCACTTCTGACTACAATCTAGGCACCATCACTTCTGACTACAATCTAGGCACAATCACTTCTGACTACAATCTAGGCACCATCACTTCTGACTACAATCTAGGCACAATCACGTCTGACTACAATCTAGGCACCATCACTTCTGACTACAATCTAGGCACCATCACTTCTGACTACAATCTAGGCACCATCACTTCTGACTACAATCTAGGCACAATCACTTCTGACTACAATCTAGGCACAATCACTTCTGACTACAATCAAGGCACAATCACTTCTGACTACAATCTAGGCACAATCACTTCTGACTACAATCTAGGCACAATCACTTCTGACTACAATCTAGGCACAATCACTTCTGACTACAATCTAGGCACAATCACTTCTGACTACAATCTAGGCACAATCACTTCTGACTACAATCTAGGCACAATCACTTCTGACTACAATCTAGGCACAATCACTTCTGACTACAATCTAGGCACAATCACTTCTGACTACAATCTAGGCACAATCACTTCTGACTACAATCTAGGCACAATCACTTCTGACTACAATCTACTTCAGAGTAGGCACAATCACTTCGGACTACAATTCACGTACATGTACTGAGATTCTAAACCAGTGCAACATGGTTACTAATACAGTTTGAGTTTGAAGCTATACTTGATTGATCATATTCATTCACAACTTCAGTCTTGTTACTTCCTCATTCCCTCATTCTGCTGGACTGTTTTAATTTTGCTAGCTTTCGCCGGTCCCACCGACAAGAACTGTGGGTATTGTGACAAAATAGAAAAACCTCAATTTGCAATCATTGTATGAAATACTGTGATGATATTGTAACTCCATATCATTTATTCATAAGCTATATTATAATAATTATCATTTAAATCTTGACTATCATTTAGTGCCATTAAATATCCCATTTCATATAACTATTCAACCTATACAACTTGCCATTGTTGCAACTCAGTGCAGCCACGCAGCACCATGACAAGAAACGAATCAGCTACATTGCCTCACGATGCTATCAGTATCACTGTTATGCTCGCCAAAGGCTACCAGCATCAAATGGTGGATAGCGAGTGTACGGGTGCGCACACTGCATTCTCCACTGCTCGCAACAGGAGAGCAGTGTTGACGCCTGGCTTTCTCACTGGTTGATTTCGTAGAAATTAGTCGTCGCTCCGCGTTGGCCAGTTTGGGCGACTTCGTACATTGCCTTGTCCGCCGTGATGGTGCTGGGGTTTAGCGACACTGGCTGTATAACGGCTGGACCACCGGGATTGGCCACTACGTAGTCCGCTGTGCTGGTGCTGGGGTTTAACGACACTGGCTGTATTACAGCCGGTCCACCAGGGTTGGCCTCTACATAAGAACTTTCTTCGTAGTCCGGCTTCGGTAGGAGATTAACTGCAGAACCACGGTTAGATGAGGGCGGCCCCGCACTCGTTTTCAAGTTTGACGAGCTGTGTCTCTGCTCTGGAACTGGGCTGGGACGATCGTAGTTGGCCGCGGAGTGGTTCATGTCGATGTAGCTGTCAGAAGAGCCCTGCCGCGCCACGTATTGTACCTTGACCGACGGTATTTCGTTGTACGTGTCACCATCAGTTGCGCCGCCAAGCCTGGTAAGAGAGTCGTATTTAGGGTTCGGCAGCATGCTGTCCTCCCTTGTCAGTGAAGCAGGTCTTCCGTTATTGGCGGTGGTGTTGGGGGTGTATCGTGGATTAGCGGACATGGAATCTTCCCGGCGATGCTTTGGTGTAAGCGTTGCCTCTCCCTTGACCAGCAATAGAAAGACCAAACAAGCCACCAGACATCAGCACAACGCAACAGTAGACCTAGGCTACTTGCATGGTGCTGGCTGTGCAGGTTCTAGCTTTCTTTGTCATCGTGTCACCTAACTGGTACAGTGCGTATCGGTTAAAGCGTGGTTGTGTAAAAGAATATGCTGCCTACAAGAATGAACTCTCATGTTTTCATAATCATAACATGGATTTCAAGTGCACATTTATTCTTACAAGCAATTTTATCGTACAGTAGAATATATCAGTCCTAAGAATGGACTTTGTGTAGCAAAACATGCCAGATTAGCACAAAGTATATCGCCTGTAGTAATAATATCCGTCCAATGCAGTTCCGATCTGACTCGCGTTGGGTCGTAGTGCTGCAGGTTCAACTGTTGTGGTCATGTAACTCATGTTGCATAGCCACATGGTAAGCCTATGTGACTATGACAAGCAGCATGCACCGTAACACTACATTGCATGTACGATGATCTTCCTGCCTCTGCGCACATGCACATGATACATGTATGTCACACTTGATTTATCGTGTGTAAGAAATATCGGAAATAAGAAAAGAAAGTCGTTTTTCAAACACCCACGCTATAACCGATGCCTACTGTACTTGTGCTACCATAATCGTCAAGGATGATTGCTAGTTGTAGAAACACTGCTTAACTTACCCCCCCCCCCTCCCCATACACACACACACACACACACACACACACACAAACATCTTAACCACTCATCGCACCCCCCACCCCCACCCAACATACACACCATGTACCATGCATACCATGTATACGCCCGTCGCAAGAGAAGCACGCAAATCCGCAAATGCACTGGATGTGCACCCACAGATTTTCTCTTACACACACACACACACACACACACACACACACACACACACACACACAAACACACACAACACACACACAAACATAATCCCGGACCGCACAATGCAGTAGTGGAATCCCATACTCTACTCCTGGTCCTAAATACTTCGAAGTACATGTACACTTGACCGGGGAAACTCGGGTGAGGAGGTGCAGCTTACGGTGGCATTGTTGAAAGCAACCGAGGACAATGAGACGTCCGACTTTGACTTGCGCCTGCAGGAACAGAGAGCGGTGAGGCATGCGAACAAACACACTATTCTGAACATGGCCAATGGAGGTGATACAAACGATGTCATTGCGGTGAGGCAGTGGAGTCGCTTATGGGATACCAAGTGCACAGCCTGAGTCGGCAGACTTGCTCGTGGGAGCTAAGTACATGTACGACGCGAGTCGGCGGGTTCTCTTGAGCTAGTTCATCGCTGCACTGCAGCTTTGCCACTCCTTACAAAATCCCCTCCAGGGGCGTAGGAGGGGGTTTGGAAGTGGTGTTGGAGGGGGGTCCGGGGGACCTCCCGCGGGAAAATTTTGTAAAAAAGACACAAAATCCTACGTTCTGGGAACTTATGGCACACTTCTGGCGCGGTGTGCAGTCGGGTCGAGTATAGTACAGTACTCAGTACGACTGCAGATGCATAACAGATCTACGAGTAGACCTACGAGTCTAGAAAAAGGTCAAAGTCTGATGCGCATATGCATCGATGGATCCTGATTTTTTTTATTACGGTTTTGCACGTTCCGGACGGACCACACTTTTCGAAAAGTGGTACGACCATGGTCGTACCAGTCGTAGCGGGTGCTACGCCCCTGCCCTCAAACGATGATGTACAAGCAATCGCATAATCACCTCTCTAGGTCCACAGGTCCACCGTGCACACTGCAGTTGTGTGAGTGAGGGTAGCACTACTGGGATCATTTTCTCACTATAGCCCCATGACAAGGTCAACCGTTGGTCTCCTGGTCATGAGTTATGAATGATAGTTGGCTATAGGACCTACACCGTGTACTTTACTATATCTTGCATGTGCCCTACTTCTGATGAGGAACTGCACACACTGCAGAGCTCTGATTGGGATACTTTCAGGTGCTCTGTTTGCTCACAATCACAACAGCAAGGATATGTGTGTACTTCTGAAGTACATACGCCAGCAAACACACACACACACACACACACACACACACACACACATGCCCGTGCACACACCGGGCAGACATACACACACACACACACACACACACACACACACACACACACACACACACACATGCCCGTGCACACACCGGGCAGACATACACACACACACACACACACACACACCGCACACACACACACACACACACACACACACACACACACACACACACACACACACAAACACACACACACACACACATGTCCGTGCACACACCGGGCAGACATACACACACACACACCGCACACACACACACACACACACACACACACACACACACACACACACACACACACACACACACACACACACACTACCCCCTCCTCTTGAACCGTCTCGTGTCTTACCTTGTACACACTATAAGAATGATAATGATGATGAGTAGTAGTGCTCCGCCAACAGCAGCACCAATAGCAATGTAGATAGTATTGCTGGATCCACTCCCTGCCACAGTTCCTACGGACCAAAGCATTGCGGCATTGAAAATGAAAATAAGTTCATTTTTGATCAGAGTGACGAGTCCTGTCATACTCTATTTATTACATGCGCAGGTGTTTCGTCTGACGTGGCCACTGCCACCCACGCGTACATTGTAGCTGCATGCGGACAACTGTCATGCGTTCCATGTCCAAGAATCCCGTTACATCGAAAGCCTGTGAAAGTTTGGGTAAGCAGTAGTGAGTACAGGTGCAGTAGTAGGCTCAGCCAGGGCATTGGATGGTCTCTCGGATACTGAGGTTTTGGGTCACAGAGCGCTAGAGCTAAAGAGTAACGGATGACGTCATACTGTTCTTACCTCTGAACGCAGTGACCGTGTTTGGAGGTGCTGACGTGCGGGAACCGGTCGGCAGGCTGGTCATTCCCTGTGCCGTGCCCTGCATGTCCTGGCTGTTTGTTTGCGGTGTGCCTTGAGCAGAGCTGGGACCAGCAGTGCCAGTAGTCTGAGTAGGTGGATCACGACTAGTAGCAGGGACTAGGTCACTGGCAACGGGAGGGGTTGTAGGCATTAGAGTTGTGGGTGCTTGTGTCATTGGCACCCCGGTTGTCGGTGTTTGAGTCATTGGTACCCCGGTTGTCGGTGCTTGAGTCATTGGTACCCCGGTTGTCGGTGCTTGAGTAGTCAGTGCCGGGGTTGTGGAGGCTGGGCTCGTTGGTGCCTGGGTCGTGGCAGGCACACAGCAATTCAAATTTGAAGTCGGCAAGCCGGTGCAAGCAGCACCGCTTGGGGAGCAGGTGCGCGTGCGTGTGACGGTGACGGATGTGCCACCGCACGTTCCTGATGGTAACCCGGAAGGGAGCGCATCGCTGCAAGTCGACCAGCTTCCCCACTGTCCCTGCTGCTGGTCAAAAACTGTTCCTTGGCTGTCCTGGCCATTTCGGTTAGTCGCTGAACACGTGACTACTATACTGGTGCCGGTGAAAGTCAGATTTGCAATACTTATTCTTCCATCTTCATGTAGGCTGACCACCTGCAGGGTTATCAAAACACACACCTCAGACCTCAGACATGCCCATCGCGGAAGCGATGATAGCGAACAGCTATGTTAGACATAGCAACTTGTGCTGGGATTACACCATTCAACAGCTTGCAAGGCTGATGAATTGACCGCCACTATTTTTAGCCTGGTATCCACCACACAGCTGCTTGAAGTGACTTTTTCTGGCCAGTGAATCCCTATTTTTTCATTTTTCCATTTTTTTCTTTCCTTTTTCTACACACACCACACCACATACTCCGGCATACACTGGCTCAGCTGGTAACCACCCAGGAGAATGAAAGAAAAGTCAGGAAGAGTCCGAGAAAGAGAAGAAAGACGTGTGCGACCATAATCGTCGGGAATTGAACCCGCAACCTCTCGATTGGAAATCGACTGCACATACCACTGCACCACATGGGACCACACACACACACACACACAAACACACACACACACACCTCAGACCTCAGAGATGCCCATCGCGGAAGCAATGATAGCGAACAGCTATGTTAGGCATAGCAACTTGTGCTGGGATTACACCATTCAACAGCTTGCAAGGCTGATGAATTGACCGCCACTATGTTTAGCCTGGTATCCACCACACAGCTGTTTGAAGTGACTTTTTCTGGCCAGTGAATCCCTATTTTTCATTTTTCCATTTTTTTTCTACACACACACACAGCACACCACATACTCCGGCATACACTGGCTGTTGGTAACCACCCAGGAGAATCATCGGAAAGAAAAGTCAGGAAGAGTCTGAGAAAGAGAAGAAAGACGCGTGCGACCATAGTCGTCGGGAATTGAACCCGCAACCTCTCGATTGGAAATCGACTTCACATACCACTGCACCATATGGGACACACACACACACACATATACACACACACACACACACACACACACACACACACACACACACACACATACACACACACACACTTGCACTTGTTGCTCCATGCCAAAACTGGTCCGTGGGTCTCCCCGGGAGCTCGAGAGATCCGGGAGAGGGGAGAGAGACTCAAAAGGAATCTTGGAAAGATGACTCATTTGGCTATTGAACCGCCCAACGGCCGACACCCCCTGAAATCCCCAAAACTCTGGGTGGACTTAATAAATGATCCCACTTATGGGCTCACCACACCTCAGTCAGTGGGTAAGGACAAGGTGCAGAAAAAGGATTGAAGGCATCAGGGTATCCGTCCCGGGATCCAACTGCAGTTACCCCTGCCCCCAGTGAATGTAATACTTGCTACTAGTGTGGGTGGCTAAATCAGAGTGGATCTGATACAAGCTTCACTAGCACCATTGATTACACAAGAGTTAATTTAGCCAGAAGCAGTCCATGGCTAACAGGTATGTATACTTCAAATAGAAAGTATATGAACCCTGGAACCAACAAAGGTGGCAGGCACAGCATTACACCTTCAAGTAGCCGAGCCCATTGGCAACAGACCCAAGACAATCAGGCATAAGGGTACCCACGAACCAAACTAGCTGGCACACACACACACACACACACACGCACGCACATGCACACACGTGTGTGCGCACACACAGAGGAGTAGTTTCCGCTAAGAATAAAACACCGTTGAGTTCCCGGCAGGTACCAAGAACTACTAGGCATGAGCAGCGGAGAGATGTGCCCAAGCGTGCCGCTGCTTGCCAGGTCAATGCAGGTATTGAATGCACACACCAGGCTGCTTGCCAGGGCAATGCAGCGAAGGCACACACCAGGCTGCTTGCCAGGGCAATGTAGCTATCGAATTCACATGTCGGGTGCTTCAAAGGGCAATGTAGCAATCGAATGCACATGTCAGGCTGCTTGCCAGGGCAATGTAGCTATTGAAGGCACCTGCCAGGCTGCTTGCCACGGCAGATCACTTGGGTCCATAAGAAGTACTGGTTCACCTGCCTGTCTGTTGGTATGACTGTGGTCCGTACGGAATATGGAAATGGCGAACCAAAATACCCTCGGCCAACCCTTCTGTGTTGGCTAAGTAGCCGATAACATGATTTGCCTGCAACGAGACTGTTTTCACATTGGGAACTGCAGAACTTTTAAAGTCTGTTGCCACCGATTGCTGACACATGAAAAATTAGTGCAGCTATTGGCTGATGGACTGCCATTACTCGACTGATTATGCACAACTATAGTACTGGTAAAAGCAGGTTGTGTGTTATACGGCAACTGTTCAAAACACTGAACCAGTATCTCCAGCTAGAGTTGAGTTTTGAACTTACAGCACCGGCGATGCTCTTCCATTCAATCTGAGGGCGCGGGAACCCATCCGCCTCGCAGGGCAATGTGATGGAGCTGCCTGAAAGCAGCACATACTGGGTGGAAAGTGAGCTTGTTATGGTTGGCTTGGCTGCCAGAGTGCGACAAGAAAACGGGAAAAATAAAGTTTCACACATTTGCACACTCGCATAAAGAGCTTTGAAGCACCGAAGCACCTGTCTCACTAGTCAAGGAGGGTGGTAACAATCATCATTACCTACATCGGAAATGGCTTTGTTACGGTGCACGGTTATCAATGGTGTGTGCAAGTTGGGTCGGTCACTGAAGAGCACAATGTGGTGGTGGTGGTAGCGGTGGCGGCGGCGGCAGCGGCGGTGGCGGTGATGATGGTGGTGGTGGTGGTGTCGCCCAAATACAGTACGGAGTTTGTACAGTGACAATAGCAGCACTTGAGAAGCCAACTCACCTTCTGGTGCATCGAATCTCAAGCAGACGTGT